ACAGTTACATTAAATATAAATAAACTGAAAAATGTCCTCATTATAACAGTTACATAACAAAGTTTATATAAATAAACTGAAAAATGTCCTCATTATAACAGTTACATACAAAGTTTATATAAATAAACTGAAAAATGTCCTCATTATAACAGTTACATAAATGATACAAATGAAACACTAACTTATTTCTTTAACACAAAATAGAGGGAAGCCAAAGACATGAATTACACATCGAAAAATGTCAAGTCTTCTGTTCTCAAAGCAACAACAACCAAAGGTATCAATAGACAGGACCAGACATTTACAGACAAATTACATTTATTAACACACGTAACACATTCAATATGCTGGATCATCAATTGGTTCATGCAATAAACAAAATGATTTTACTTAGAAGTCATTACCTTTATGGTGTAAATAATTCCTTCTACCCTTCAGATGTGATAAATTATTGCTTTTAAAAATATTAAATTTAACATGCACGCTTTTAAATATCTAAATCATAACTCTCGTATTAAATTTAATGTATATCTAACATCAGCACGCTGTTTTCCTTTCAGTTATTTAACACAATAACAGTATTGTCTGAATAGTCTGTTGTTCTCACATTATTCCTCTAACTTCTAAGCCTAGAGTACGACACCGAGACATTAGTGGAACATCAAGGCAATGTGAAAATGTAATTATTTTAGAGTATCACCTAACAAGGATTATCCCAAACTGATCTGAATGAAACTTTATTGTATCCTACCCTGTTACAAATAAGATCAAACTTCTTTACATACATTATTTGCTTGTTGTAGTTCACGAATATGTTACATAGAACATAATCCGCTATTTGAATTCTGTGTTTGTTTAGACAAATGCCTTTTAAATGTGATATTCACGTGATCCGGTGCTATTCTTCTCTAACACATGGTGATTCGTGTTTCAGTTTTCAAGGTTGTTTGGATGTGAGAAATTATTAATCACTTTGTCGTCACGATAGCTACTTAATGACTTACAAATTTCTACGCACAAAGAACCAGTACTCTGTCCGATCAATAGGTCCCCAGAAATTTGTCTCCTATTCGCTAACAGAATATCAACGATTTCAAATTGTTCCCTGTAATCTAGCAGCATATCCAGAACACTAAATATTTAATGTCGCTTTATATACATTGGATCATCTACACAAAACTCTGTACATTTATTTGTGATCTGGACGCAAGAAATAAGTCTTACTGTTATGTAGAATATTTTATATTAAAATCTACGATAAGTTAGATATTCGCTTCATTCCAATATTCTCTCTAATGAACTTTTTTCTAAATCACAACAACTTTATAACAATGTTCTAATAAGCAATAAATTGTTTTCCAAGTCTCTGCTAACTTTATTTTTACATCGTGTTCATATATACAGATAAAGTGGTATATCTAAGAATATACGCACACTGATAAAGGGAAATTAACTGAAAATGCTCAGATCAAACATGAAATATTAATGAATAAATTTTCAAGATGTAGAAAACTTAGCTGCCAAAAATTAGTGAAAACAGATACCAACACAACCACCAAGATTTAGTGAACATAGCTACCAGTTCACGGACACAACAGTCAAGATTTGGATATAATCACCAAGATTTAGTGAACATAGCTACCAGTTCACGGACACAACAGTCAAGATTTGGATATAATCACCAAGATTTAGTGAATATAGCTACCAGTTCACGGACAAAACAGTCAAGATTTGGATACAACCATCAAGATTTAGTGAACATAGCTACCAGTTCACGGACACAACAGTCAAGAT